GTTGCCAGGCGTTGTCGGGCGGTGCTCTGGCCTCCGGCAACGTGCCTGCCATCGTCAACACGGTGCCAGCTCGCCCTGGTGTGCCGGCCCACTTCAAGGTGACGCTCGAGACCCCCGATGGCACGCAATCTTTCGAATCTTGGCTCTGTACTACAGTTTCTTTCTAGTTTGATAGCCTGAAGTCATTCGAGACGAACGGTCTCTCAGCTTGAGCAATCAAAGAGCATCCAAGGAATGCCCCGAGGACGTGTACATCCTGGATCAGGCTGAGGAGGAGGGCTTGGAGCTGCCCTACTCCTGCCGCGCGGGCTCTTGCTCCAGCTGCGCTGGCAAGGTCCTGGAGGGCGAGATTGACCAGAGCGATCAGGCCTTCCTGGATGACGACCAGACGGGCGAGGGCTTCTGCTTGACCTGTGTCTTTTTTGAAAATAACAGGTATTGTTGGTGTAAGGACTGTAAAGAGAATGCCCGAACGCCGGATTGGGGTTGTTAGAGGGTTCAAGAACAGCCCAGGCGTGACATACGCCACGTCCGACGTGACCATCAAGACCCACTGCGAGGATGAGCTGTGAGATGTTGCCTCAGTTGTTACTATGTCTCTGCTTCGTTTTTCCTTCTCTACTTGCGACAGTTGCTCCAGTTAGTATATGTGGTTGGTCTCACCGAATTTTCGAAGCTAGCCTCAAGCCAAGCGCTGGCAGACTCTGATTCTGGCGGAGTAAAGTTGCGAACATCCTCGAAGTACGGCGCAGAGTAGATGTGGAGCAATACTCTTTTCAGTGCACCTATCCTATTTGCAGGAGGTTCCTTCTGCCCTTAAGCCCTAGACCCTAAACCCTAAAGAGTCTTCTCTTTGCTGCAGGTACCGGCACCGTACGAGTCAGCACTCGATGCAAGCGGTGCATTGCCAGAGCCTCATCTGCGGTCTTTCTCGCACTTTTGTTCAGGGTTTAGGGTTGCGGGCTTAGGGTTGGATTGGGAGACCAAGTAAGCATATATTGGCCTTAACATCCAAATCCTAGAATGCCAACCTCAAAGCCCGAAGCCCAATTACACCCAGCACCCCGAAAAGCCCTTAAACAAAACGTCGCAATATTTAGGCTACTGGGAATTCGGGATTTGCAGGGTCTATGGGTCGTTCAGAGGCTGATTGTTCAATTTTGCTATTTGAAGAGGGGTCAGAAGTCAGAGAAAATTGGAGGATATGGTGGTAAAAATAACCTTATACTTCCTGCCCACTTACTAAGTGCACGCAGCCTGCCCGTAAGACCCAAATCGTGCTTCATAACATAACCTGGGCGATCCAATCTCGTAGAGCTGTAGATGTAGAGTTCAACCCCTCAGTGCGTTTTAGGGTTTAGGGTTTAGGGTTTAGGGTTTAGGGTTTAGGGTTTAGGGTTTAGGGGTTTAGGGGTTTAGGGGTTTAGGGTTTTATCCCAGACGCCGTAAGCCTTTGACGATTCAGGAGTAAGGCCCAAATTAGAGCCGTAAAGCTGGGATCCCAGCTTAGGTCGGAGCTTTGCCAGGCTATACCCTCGCATACCCTCGCAGCCCCTAGCATGTGACGGCTTTTTCCTGATGATGGTTGGGGGTTTAGGGTTTAGGGTTTAGGGTAGTATTATTCCAGCCCGACAGGGCGGCAGTGATTGTGTACAGGGTTGTATGATTTGTGTTTGGGGTTCTGGGGGTGTAGAGATTTCTGGACCGTAACTACAGGGTTTGGCACTTCTTGCGCGCACAGCAGGTTGGGAAGGCCTTATGATATCTATGCGATCTTCAAGGACTGCAGGCTGTTTCACGCCTACCCTAAACCCTCCAACCCAAATCCTAAACCCCAAGCCCTAAACCCTGGCACCTAAGACCCTGAACGTGTTCCGGCTCTTTGGCCGTGCTCTAGGTGTTTGTATGAAAGGGTTTATTTTCCCAAGCCCGAAGAAATAGGCTACCCCTTATATGGGTGGTTGTCAAAATTGTGGTCCCTTTTTGGGTCCTTATTATAATACGGCACCTATTATTTAGGGTACCCCAAAAGGGACCATAATTTTGACAACTACCCATATAGAACCCTACGTTGTACTGCATAGCCCCCTTGGACCCTTCGGCTTTGCAGCGACTTGAGCGCCGAGCTACCGGCAAAACTCCTGCTGCGATAGTGCGCCCTAGCACAACCTGATATGGGGGACTTCTAGTCGAGTTTTGGGTTTAGGCTGTTATAGGGTTTTGGGTTTAGGGTTTAGGGTTTAGGGTTTAGGGTTTAGGGTCACTGTTGGGTTTTGGGTTTAGTGTTCAGGATTTGGGGTTGGTGTCTAGAGCCCTCCCATAAAGTGCTGGGGTTCCCTCTACAGTACTCTTAAGGATTGAAGCTATATTGGGCTTCCAACTTTCGGGCTTCTACTGTAATCCTAAACCCCTAAAGCCTAAACCCTAAACCCTAAACTGTAAACTGTAAAGCCCTACTGCTACAGTAATAGCCCTGAGCGGTGAGGTCGGAGTCGGCACGCTCCCCTACCGAGCTGCCCGCCGGGACCCCAGCGACGGCAAGCCAGGGTTAGGCTGGATCTTCCACGAGGCTTAGGGTTTAGGGTTTAGGGTTTAGGGTTTAGGGGTTTAGGGTTTAGGGATCTCCCACGGGGCCGGAAGAAATATTAGGTTATTTCTAGGGCTGTTGAGGCTTTAGGTTTCAGGGTTTACTGATTCGATTGATGAATTATTTAGCCCTATATATGACTGCACCCCAGAACCCAATTCTGATTTCTCAGGCCCCTATGCACGGGTCAATACAAGGGGGTTGACTCTTTAGACTTGTAGGGGCGGGGGCTAGTATATGCTGAATTTGCAAAGGATTTGTAAAGAACCATGGCCTAAACTCTAAACCCTGTTGGGTCTATTGGAACGGATCATGCAGACCTCCATAGTACAGGGTTGGAGGTTTCCAGGAGTCTCTGAAACCTAAACCCTAAACCGTTACGGTTTTGCGGAGGGCCTCCAGGAGGGTTACGATAGTAGGTAGTGTTAGGAAGAGCCCTTACAGGGGACCCTTCCTACTCTCTTAGAAGGGACCTTATTGAGAGGGTCTATATCTCCAAAAAGTCACCCGAATCCTAACTCCTATACGATTTTGGAGTCATTGGCTTCGGGCTTGAAGGGTTGCCACAGGGCCACAGCGTTTCGGGCTCAGCTTCTGCATTCGGGGGCTTCTGCGTCTGAAGACTGAGGGTCTCGAAGCGCTGATGATGCAACCTCAAACAGAATTTCTTGAAGTAGCTTAAAGGGTTCTATAAGGGCTGCTATAACAGGTTTGGGGCTGAGGGGCCTTAACAATTAGAATAGGGTTTGGGGTAAACTAGACTATCTTTTTGTGAGTGTTCGGGTTGCATCGGGATTTCTTGGAAGTACGGGTGGCTTACCTGGGGTCTGTGTTTCAAGGATCCTGCTATTTACTATTCAGGGTCCGGCAATTCCAGAAGCTCGCGACTGTCTGTCGCTGGCAGGCTGCATATAAAGTCGGATATACCCCAAACCCTATTCGAATTATTATAAGGCCCCTAAACCGTAAACCCTTATAGTAGCCTGTAAGGAACCCTTTAAACGATGGGGATGTTGGTGAGCGTGTATAGGTTCAATAGTTGGGTTTTCTCATGGGGATACTTGCAATGAGAAGCATACTATGCATAAGTAAGCCCTCCACCACTCTTTCCTCTTTCAGAAGTATGACCAATTCACGTTTTGGGGGTTTAGAGTTTAGGGTTTAGGGTTTAGGGGCAATGTGATTTGATTGTGCTCTCGACCCCAATGGCCTATACTCTAATGACGAATACTAACCCCTGAACCCTAAGTCTAAGACCCTAAACCCTAAACCCTGAACCATAAACCCTAACCCCTGAACCCTAAACCCTAAACCCTACTTGTAAGCCCCGAGCCCGAAGCCAGGACATTGCAGTTCCTACCGAAGTGCCCTCACCCACGTCTCTGGGTGCGGTACAAGAGGAGGCATCGTGAGAAGGATTGAGGGTTTAGAGCTTAAGGTTCCGGGTTTAGGGTTTAGGCCCTAAACCCTAAACCCTAAACCCTAAACCCTAAACCCTAAACCCTGAGGCTTTTGGGGGTTAGGGTCGGTCCCCCTGTTTATGTTGGTGCGAAGGGCTGTTTAGGGTGCCGCCAAGTGCTACCGCAAGGTCTCTGTCAATCTTGAGGCTTGTGCTTTAAGATGTAGGGCCGTGAGTTTAGGGCTTCAGGTTTATGCTTTGTGGCCAAAGACCCCGATGCCTTACAAGCCCAGCATGTAGTAGGAAAACATAAGAGCTTGAACCTGTAGTCCTTGTTTACGAACTTCGGCAAATGAAAAAGCCGTGACGTAGCCCAACATATAGCTCAGTACTGTATAAGGACACCCACAAGACCGACAACACCTTAAAACCGACCATGGCCTGATACCCGGGTCCTAAACCCTAAGGATCTACGTAGCTATGCGCATCATAGCCAAGAGCTACTATCATGGGCAACTCCGAATGTAAAGACCCTACATTAGACTATGTAGGTCTTGAAGATCCTTTAAATATTCCTAGAGGAACCCCCTCGCCCTTAAACCCTAGTTAGCAACTCCGGACCGAGATAGCACACTCTAAGGTCTTTGGCTTTGCGTTCAAAGATAGGATCTTAAGCTGACTGGATTCACGTCATGTTGAAGTAACGTGTAAGCGCTACTTCCCTAAGGAATTCGCCCCAGACCACACCGCCCTTGGACCCTTCTTTGAGTATAAGCCAAATATCACAAAGATGATGTCGCAGACGCGCACGCGCGCGCGCGCGCGCGCGCGCGTGAGCCGCCGCAACAAAAAGCCCTACACCCTCGTTGCGGCATGCCCCGACCCACGATGCACCACTGGCCGTCACTAAGCCTATACCCTAGATTTTGTTCGAGGCGGATACGGTGGCCGAGGAAATTGGGACCTTGCTTCTGCCTTGGAGTCGCGGAGTTTACAGGTTCAGGATTTGGGGTTTTGAGTTCAACGTCCACTAAACTTTAGTATGCGCCGCTTTAAGTCTGCAAGGTCCGACCCTTGAACACTGTGCGGCTAACTGTCAAAACGGTTCTGAGGCTGAGAGCTAAGCCTCTAGTTTCCTTGGGTATCAAAATACCTTAACCTACCAAAACCCACTTTTTTTGTAAGTTCCTATTATAAACCCTAATATGGGATTTATAGGGACCCTACAAAAAGGTAGGTTCTGGTGGGTTAAGGTAGAAGTGAGGGTTGCCTGAGCTCGGGATCCCGGACAGGGATGCTATTGGAAACTTTGTGGGAGGTTTAGGTTAGGGTTAAGGGTTTAGGGTTTAGGGTTTAGGGTTTAGGGTTTAGGGTTAATCCTAAACCCTGACAGGGATGCTATGGGAAGCTTTGTCGGAGGTTTATGTTAGTGTCAACAAGGGC